GTGATAACTTTGCAGAACACCTAACACATTGAATCGTGCCACCTGGTATGCACACGGTACACGGCCGTGCCCGAAGGTTTCTCGAGAGCGCGCGAAGCGCGGTGCGCTTAACTGGGGAAAACAGGAATATCGTAGACGGTGAAATTACGGCGCGCTTCAGCCGCGAAGAAAGGTACTGTCCGGCTGAGAAGTCTTGTCGGTTATTCTTCGCGGCGAGAGATCAGGGAGACAAGAGAACTTTTCCACTCACATTACCCAAATTTCGTGCTACCGCCGTTTCCGACGCACAGCGATTATGGCGGCTGACAATAACAAAGGAAGGAAACAAAACCGAATGCAACGGAGTGAGATGTAACGACGGATACCGAAATTGGTGACACTATGAACTTTGATCTCTGTCGTTGCGTCTTATTTCGTCGCCTTCAGTTCCCACGGTGTGTACAGCGGAGACGTAATCGTTACTCAATGACCGTGGCGCGGTGCCGTAAAAAAATGCCGGGCCGAGCAGCGAGCGGCTCCGATCGCCGTAAACGTCTCGCGTTTATTTAATTTGCTTACAAGTAAGTGCGTGGCGACATCGGGGCGCAATACGCGCGCGAAGAAAAATCGGGACATTGTATCGGCAGTCTGGACGCGTCTGCGGACGGGAACCTCACGTACGGCTCCGGAGGCGTGCGAGGCATCGCGATGCACTCGCGAAGGACCTTTCCTGTTGTGTGTGTGTGTTTTTTTTGCCCGAGGTACGGGGCATTAATTTGTGTCCTCTCGACAGTTAAGACTGTGCTTCTGCTCCGAGCGCCGGGCCCACCGCGGGATGATCCGATGAATCGTCGATTACGCGTCGAATCCGCCTAATTCAATTCTGGGCCGGTCGATTTATGTCCCGATCGAATTACACGGAGTGTCTGATCGGTTGCGACGTTTTATGGTGCGATTAACGTGTCGGATGGATAGTGTTAATGGACAACGCAGAATGAGTTTTTCTGTGTCAGTTTGGAAATGAAGAGTGGATCGTTTTATTACGGAACTTAGTGCACTGGTTTTTACTGTGGGGATATTGTCTTTTAGTGAAGCAATATCCGGGCATAACCATAATGAAATGTGAATTCTTTATGAAACGATTTTACCGTTGGAGTTGGCTAATCAGTCGGCCGTTTATTATAATTTTATAGCGACATTTGCTGCCGAACGGAGGATCTTAATTCTTTGGGATCCTTGTGACTTGAATATTGATAAATGTCGCTTGATTAGGATCGTTAAGGGAAACGTAATCTTCCTGTTGTAAAATTATTTTACGAGGGTCTTGTAATTAGCGGGACATACCGGTGGAAAAAGGGTACGGAAGTCCTGGAGGTGAATTAATGGAATGACCATAATGTTCTGCAAGCGAGGATCGTGTGTCACTATTGGTTAAAAGAACTACAATGTCTGTCATCGCCAAGTTTTACGATCGAAGGAGAATCTAATGGCTTCTCATTAAAGTAATCAAATATTAGTGTCACAGAGGCAACCGTCCGACCTCTAAATCAAAACATAAAGACAAGAATGTTCAGAATGAATTACTAACGATACTAAGTTTTTATAGCGAGTATATGCAATAAACTTTACAACGCCACGTACAATAATAAATCCAAGCACTGTGTACCTTAATAATAATTATCGAGTCTCATAGAATCGCATGCAGATACATCATTGACACAATGACGCACGCAAAAACCATCCTCAACCAGATGTCCGCTGGCCCTCTATCTTCCTGAGCAATCTTCCATCTACCAAGCCCACTCCACGAACGACTGTCCAACAAAAATCCCCTTTGCCCGCGGTGGTTCCTTTTCAGCGGTGCGATACCTGCGTCGTTATCCGTGCGCGATCGCCATCTAATCATAATTACGATCGTTAAAAATCCACCTGCGAAATGGACGCTGTGGCTGGCTCGAGTCCACCGAACGGAGATACCTATCGCAGGCGTCGCAACTCGTACAGCGCAGCGGTGATTAACATGCCCGCGATCGCGGACGAACCGTTGGAAAATAGCCGTCCCATTGAGGCTTCTATCAAATCTCAGCAACTGGTGCAAAGAAAATCCGTTAAATTGCTGGACAACTCCAGCCTGGAAAGCTGGTCCACGGAAAGCTCCATGCTGAAAAGAGACCTAGCCAGAACCCCGTCAACAGACACCAGCAGGTCCTGGAACGAGAGCATCGAAATCCCCGAGATCTTCCTGTCCCACCCCGAACTATTGTCCAGACTAGCAAAGTGTCGTTGCCTGTTAACAGCGAAGCTCTCGATCTCGTCGGAGTGCCAGTGTCAGTGTCGTTGCCAGTGCCGTTGCAGCCA